ACAGGGTGCCGCGCGATCCGCCACTCGGCGATGATGCGGCCTCGGCCCCGCACACAGCGCCGTCCCGGCTGGGGCCGCCCGCAGCCCCCGGGCAGGGCCGTGCCGGCGGCGGCGCCGCTCCCGCGGCGACAGGAACTTTTCGAGTCCGCCTCCGCCCTTCCCCGGCACGGCGGCCCCGCTCCCGGCTCCTTGCCCGCCCGCTGCTCCCGGCGCCTCGCGCCCCCCGCCCTCACCTGCCGCGCCGCCGCACGCCGCCCGCCCGAGGGCCGCAGCCGCCCCGCGCGCATCTCCCCCGCCGCGCAGCCCCGCGGCTCCCCGCACGCACCAGAGCCGCCCGGGCCGGGCTGCGGCGCGGGGGCTGCCGGGAGCTGTAGTCCCGCGACCCCACTGCGGTCCGGGGCGCCGCGAGGCGGCGAACTACAGCCCCCGGCGCGCCCCCCGACGGCGGGGCGCAGCCGGCGAGACGGCGCGTGCGCGCTGCTGCCCGACGGAGTTTCCGTTACTTTCCTCGCCCGTGGCGGTGGGAGCCCGGAGTCGCTAACGGGACGGCTCGCCGCTCGCAGCCGCCGCCCGCATCTCGCCTCGCCTCACCTCCGCAGCCCTCTCGGCTCCCGCCGTGCCGGAGTACGGCCCCGCGCCGTCCGGCCTCCGTGGCGTTCTCACAGCTCCTCCCGCCGCAGCTCGAGCTGCGCCCCGCGCCTGCCTGCCTGCCTCCCTCCCGCGGTCCGCCTCCCCCGCCCTCCCCCGGCCCTCCATCCGCGCCGCTTTCGGTTCACCTTTCCGGGCGGCGGGTGGCGCGGCGCAGTGCCGCCGCGATGTCTCCGCGGCCTCGGACGCGGCCCTTCGGCTCCGCACAGGAAATGCTTGACCGAGTGTGTCACCGGATCGCGCCGGCCTCGCCGCCGCCGCGCTGACCTGGCGGCTCCGAGCGGGTGAGGCCGCTCACCGCTCTCCGTGCTCCCTGTAGGGAGCTGGTGCTTCCCCTCAGCGAGTGGCCGGGCCCGCCGCCGTGCCTCAGCCGCCCAAATCCTTCACCCAAATCCTGTATTCCTGCTCAGTGTCAGTAGTGCCGCATCGCCAGTGCGTGTATCCGGAGCAAACGCTGTGTGAGACTGGTTACAAACCAAAGCTGCGCTCCAGCCCCAAAGCTCCCTCCTAGAGACAACCCATCATCTCCCTTCTGGCTTTGGTTGCATTTCTGTGTACAGCTCTTAACGCAATATCCACTATCATCATCATTTGCTGAAGTTTAAATGATGCATGCGTGGCAGGGAAGCTGCTAACAGAACTTGACAGAACTCTAGCTCTCTGCTCGGCGTGCATAAGATGAAGAAGCTGATTAGTGCTATGTCACTTGTGCTGTTTGTAACGAACGTTTTTCATTTCCTTCATCTTATGCTCCTGGGGCATGACCCAAGACCCGCTGCAGCTCAGCAGAGGCTTTCTACTTACTTCACTCAGTGCAGCTGATATGGCATGTAACGAAGGCTGCGTTCCCACTGGAGAGAGTTCACTTGATAAAAAATTAGCCTGAAGCCGCTCACTGAAATCTGGAACTACTTTTAACCCCAACTGTAGCAGATAAGCGCCCATTCTGCTTTTAAGTGGTTTCAAATGCTAAAAAACACCCTGGGACTTTTTAATGGAGGCTATTCCATGAATAGAGGATGTTCTCGCCAAAGTTCTGTACCAGATAACTGAGCAATCCTCATTTCCCTTTTCCTCCTGAAGTGGGACTCCCACACACCAGCACTACAAACAGAGCTCACCCCACCACCTTGAGTTCCTGTGTGTAGCACAGCAAGGAGTCACACCGCACAGTGCTTAAAGCTTCTCGCGATCTGAGTAACAGCTCCACAACGGCCATTTAAGGACACTACCAGATGGACGTTAGGAATTACCAGTCACTGCACAGAGATTATACTTCTTTGTGGAGAAGCTCAGCTTTGTATCATCCGACCAGGCTGGAGCCATTCAATTTGCTGCCCTAAGCCATAATATCTGCTTTTTCAGAAATGAGAACAGAAGATGGATTAGTTGAAATCGATTTATTATAGAACACGGGAAAGCATCCATCAAAACAAAGCAAACAGTTATAAGTATTCATGCAGCGGTACTTTCTGCTAAATGAATACTCCTAAGCATCCAAAAATGGTCTGTTTGCAAAGATCTCAGAGCAAAACACGTCTAAAAGCAGCTCTGCATGTCAGCAGCTATGTATAGAAAAGCACATACAGCTGTGCATATGCCCAATGGAGCCTGTGTGCTCACGCAGCGCAGCATTACAGCAGCACCAGCCCTGGCTGTGCCAACTGACACAACTGTTATGTTTTGAAATGTTTGTGACTCTCGTAATTAGTGATTTCCTGTGGAATTCATTGAAGTCCTTCATCTCTTTCAGAGCCCACATCAGTCTCAGAGCTTGTTCTCACTGCAGAGATCTTTCTCTACCAAACCCAGCTGCACTTCACTAATTGCTATCTCCTCTAGGTGCCAGATGACAGGAAATACGGGTAACTTATGCTGTATTTATTTACTTTTTCAAACTCCATCTTTTCATTCTAGATGGGTCACTGTCTGTAATGTAGAAAAGCTGCATTTGGAACAACTGCTTTTTAACTCTGAAAACACATCCTTTATATCCCGGTTTGAGATTACTTCTATAGCACTGTGTCAGCACATGGAAACTGAATATATTCATTTCTGTGCACCAATCTGATGTGTGGAACATTTGCGTATCATCTGTCTTGGTTACAAAGAAGGCAATGTCCTAGGATAGCTGACTGGACCATTTGTCTGAGAAATTCCATTAGCCTATAGTGCCATGATTATTTTTCACTATTTTTGACACTGAGTTTGCATAGCAAATGTGCCTGTGCGAGATCCACAAGAACTACCAGAAGTGCCTGCAGAAAGAGCTGTTCTTCCTCCCCCCCTCCACCACCACCCCATACCCTGTATGTTTAATTGCTGTTGAAGTTCACGGTCTGTTTTCCCCCTAATCCTCTGTTATAGGAGAACTGAAAAAGAATTAGGGGCTCACATTTGGTTTGGATAAAATCCTGAAATGTGGATGTGCCTCTGAATTACCTCATCGTCTCAGTTTGAGCCCTCAGCTGAACTTTGTCCTAAAATCCACCTCCAGAGAAACAGTGAAAAGTTCAGTACGGGCTTCAAAAACATGGAATCATGCCTTCAATCATCACAACAGCTGAGGCTCTTAGGATGTCCCCAAGCCTTTGGGCTCCTTGTAACACCAGCCACGCCACCCTTTGCTGCAGCTTGTGCTGCACCCTCACTGGTCAGGCTGCCTAGAAATCTCAGCCCACACAACCCACTTGGAGCGCTAAATATTAGCTGGACTGAAAGCACAACGGGGGCCATCGAATCTCCTCTCCTTGCCTATTAGCTGCAAGAGCCAAGCATCAGAAAGCGCAGGCTCCATTCGTACTGCTGCTGCCAGCTGTGCTCCCGGATCTCAGCAGATGGCAGTGTCACATCAGCCTGGGCACAGGAAAGAAGCAGCGCACAGATTGTGTTTTCACAGGTAATGCTTGTTTTTTTTCTTATATATACATATATATTCTCTAATTGGTATCTAGCTACATCTATTTGAATTTCAAGTTAATAAACCAAATGAATAAGATAAAAGAGCAGCTAACCACTGACACCAATTTGGTAGTATGGAGTAGGACTAAACAATGCATTTCTCCTTTACAAATCACTGGAAAACAAAATGTTCGTTACATTTGTTTGTTTGTTTGTTTTAACTTTTTTTCAAAAAAACTATTTTCTAAAGTAGTTACATAATTCTCTTTGCAGCTGTGACCTGCTCTGATTTATGCTATGTTTTTATTTGTTATTGCTCTTTGTCTCCTTAGTCTTGTATGTACTGTTAGATGGGAAAATCTTTGGAGAATCAAATGAGAGGGCAGAGAGGTCTTCAGAAGTGTTACCAGGATGTATTTTGGTGAACTGGCAGCAGAATCACTGAGTTCTGTCCCTATTCCTTCTCAGCGTCTGTGCTGAGACATCCAGATCAATGACCTCAAACAATTCCACTCGTATTTTAACAAAAATCAGTTTCCCAGATGCTACCATCCCATGCCCCCTGCCTAAATACTTTGATACAAATTCTCCTCATGTCACTCTTTGTACAGCTGCTCTCAAAGCATAGGAAGGGCTGCTGCTTCCCTCCCTCCTCCCACTGCTGCTGCAGTTACACATATGCCTCTGTTTCTGGTGAGCACTCTGGAGTAGGGGGAGAGGGGAAAAAGAAGCCTAAGAATATCCCGTTTGAGCCCTTTATGCAACTACCACTGTTATTTCCCCACTAAGCCACATCCTTTAGCACCACATCTAAACGTTCCTTGGACACCTCCAGGGACTGTGACTCCACCACCTCCCTGGGAGCACATTTCAACACCTGACCACTCTTTCAGAGAAGAAATTTTTCCTGATACTCAACCTGAACCTCCCTCAGATTGCTGTCACTTGGGTTGGCGGGCTTTTGTCTGAGAGGCTGCTGCCACTCTTTGTAGTCCACACTGCTCTTTCTTGGTGATCAAATGATTGCCCATTTCTCCCTACTCTGTGGTGGCTTGGTTTTACATTTGGAATGATTTCCTAACAAAGATGAGGTATGGAATTCTGTGGGAAAAATGGCATTCCTATACAGTAACTTGTTATTTCCCCATCTATGAAATCTTGGTTACAGCCACATTCTTGGTATCCACTTATAAGGGTGCTGACTTGGCAGTAAGAATGTCAGCTGCAGAGAGCCCATCTGTCCACTGGGCAGCAGAACCACCAGCTTTTCTAGGAAATCTGTTGATCTAGTTCGAAGATCTGCAAATGGACAAATGGCTCTGCTTCTCTGCTATTAGCCTCACAGGCTCTTTGAATACTTGCCATGCTGTGCTTCCAGAACGTGGTGTCTCAGGATGAGGCTCTCCCCTCCTTCATTTCTGCCTTCATTTTAACCTTTTTTTTCCTTTCAGTTCCATAGAATCATAGCATATCCAGAGTTGGAAGGGACCCATAAGGATCATCGAGTCCAACTCCCGGCTGCACACAGAACCAGCTAAGAAGGAGCTCATAGAACTGAGCGTGGTGCAGACAGTCCTTGCACTCCCGCAGGACTGGAGCCAGGCCTGCCATCCTGGGGAGCCTGTGCCAGTGCCCACCCACCTTCTGGTGAAGAACCTTTCCCTGGTAGCCAACCTGAATGTCCTCTGAGGCTAGCCTGAGCATTAAGAATAATGTGATAATTGGAGACCTTTCTGTGGAATTTCTGCAACGCAAAGGCCAGAAGTTTTGTACAAAAGCACAGCGCAAGGACAGTGACACCGCCTGACCTAAACGACTCGTGTGCAGAGAAGCTTGCCTGCTTGTTTTCATCATTTTAATTGACCTGCTGCAACATTTCACCTCAGCACCTATTTTCGCAGAATCATGGAACCGTTTGAATCAGAAGGGACCCTTAAAGGCCACCTGGTCCAGCTCTCCCACAACAAACGGGGACACCTACAGCTAGGTCAGGCCGCTCAAAGCCCAGTCCAGCCTGAGCCCTCCGAGCCTCCCGGCAGGGCCGCGGCCGGGAGGAGCCCGGTGCCGCCGCGGCCGCCTCCCTCCCTCCCTCTTTCCTTCCCGCCCAGCCTCCGGCGCTGCCTCCCCGCAGCAGAGCTGGGGATGGCGGGGCTGGCCGGGGTGCTGTGCCTCGCCGCCGCCGCCGCCTGCCTGCTCCCGGCGCAGGGGCGGGAAAGCGACGCGGGATGGACTCAGCAGAAGGTGGGTCGGGCCGGGCCGCTGTGGTTTTCCGCCGCCTCGCGGGTTTGTCCTTTGTCCCACGGCCCGGTGCCGGGGGCGCTGCGCCGGGACGGGCGGGGTGGGTGCAGGTGAGGGGTGATGACTGCCCCAGCTCCGGGTACCGACGGCCGGGCGGGGTGGGAGCAGCTCGGCGCCTGGTAGGGGCTGCAGCCCGCGGCTGCGCTCCCGGAGCCCCGTCAGACTTAACGCCGCTATGGAGACAACGAGCAGCTCTTCCCGAGGGGATTCACGTTGAGGTAGGAGAAAGAGGATGGGGTTGACATGATGGCAACTACACAGGGATTTTGAGAAGATACAGTATTTTAGCGTCTTGTAGGGGCCACTCTGTATTCTTCTTCATTTAAAACGCTGCGTGAAGTTGCGGGGAAAAAAAAGTCTTGAGGTAATGCTTAAGGAAACAACATGTGTAGCCTCTGTTTCTCTATGCAGTTCTCAGCGGCTGATTACGAAATGCCAGCATAGCTTCTTAATGAACCAAATCACATGGAACACAGCTGATCGCAGAACAGTGAATTCCATTGAGTTAAAGCAGTCACAGATTTCAAAAAGGAAAATGATAAAATCACAGAATCGTATTCCTTTAGTCCCCGCTGCTGGGTGGCTGTAGATGCTCACCTGGAACCACAGAGCTCCGCTGACTCCATGCACTGCTCTCTGCCTCCCTCAGCGAGAGCCAGGACAACCTTCATGCCTTCCCCCTCACTCCTATTCAGTCCTTGTTCACTTTCCCCTTGATATCAGTCAGTGCCCATTCAACAGAGGTTGTGGGTTTTAATTTTGAAAATCAGCAGAAACGTCATTCTGTTCTACTCCTGTTATCTCCCTGTGTATATATTTATATACACAGTTATTCATACATATACATCTACCACATATTAAGAATGTACACTCCTAAAATAGCTGCTAGAGTACCTACATGTGCATACATTTAAGACTGTGTGAGGCAGACCTTCAGCTGTGGCAGTGAGCACACAGCTGTGCAGCCCCAGTGCATCTTTCAGCCCCCTCAGCCACAGTAACACACTCTGCACCTCATCTCACCCCAACCCTCTGAGCTGCTTCCTCATGATGCTCATGCTTCCTCCCACTAACCATAGAACCACGGCACTTGAACTCCTCGGCCCTGGCAGGCACCCACCAGGAACCACTTCCTCTTTCTCATCAGATTCTCGGCCCTTCTGCTCTTTTTCCCCTGGAGGGAAGCATGAGCCAAAAGCTGGACGTCTCAGGAGTGCACAGCCCACTCCCTCCTGCTCACACAGGCAGGAAGAACCAGCTCCTAAACTTACCAGCTCTCAGAAGAAAGCTTCCATTGGCACTGAGCCAGAAGGTACTCAAATCAGCAGGATAAGTACAGGCTGCTGGTAGAAGCTGCCATTTGTACAGCTTAGTGCAGATGGCTCAATGGCAGCCCTGCCATGAACACACTGCTCTGCTGCCACCCCATCCTGCAGCAAACAGACTGAGCAATCCCAAGGAATGAGCCACCAGCACACTTCACTCCATTCTTTTACTTCACGAATGCTTTTGTAATGCCTTTCATTTCCCAGCTTTGAGTGTATTTTCACTAGTATGAGTGAGAATGTATTCCTTTCTTCTGAAGCATTTTTATACATTTGTACTATAACAAAAACATTTCTTTGCTAAGTGTTTCCATGACCCCAGCTACTAGGAAAGCTCTGCTGCTATTCAGCATCCTCACAGAGCCTTTCACTTCTTCAGATGTCCTTCCCACTCCTAAAGCATACAGTTCTACATCCCCTCTTTCCTCCTAAGCAAATCGCTTCTGACATTTCTCTTGTCTTTGCCTTTTCTATGTATGTGGAATGGTCCTCACACAAACAACAGCTGGGAAACTGGAATGAGGAGAATTAAATGCTTAATGTATAGTCAAGTCCAGAAAACAGCTGTGCTGGTATCTGCTTTGCTCAACACAAACTAACAAAGGAGGAAAGGTGACAAGTTGCGAGACAGCAACTTTTTTTTTAAACCATATTTGTCTAATTAATTAATTAAGATAAAAGGTAATTCCAGGAACTGCAGAAGGTCCGAAGGGCAGCATGCTTGATGACCAGGTAAGGAATGATTTTCTGCAGTCATTTTAGACAGAGATTAAACAATGCATGTGAGGAAGCAAGGAAGAAAGAATGATTTTTTAATTTTTTTGTCATTAATATATTCAGTGCTGAAGTGAGAGTAAATGCATCTAAGAAGACATCAGCTCAATGCACCAGCAGCCCAAAAGCAACTCCACAGTTAAGCATTTGTAAGACAGGAGAAGAATAACATAGAAAATACCATTCTCCTGCACTATAAACTGTGGTTCTGTCCTGCTCCTGTTTCTCTGTCTTTCATTTTCTGAAAAAAGGATGAGGTACACGGGGCAGACTGAAGAATGGCAAGTTTCATCAACCCTGTATGGCAGTTCTGAGCAAAGCATGAGCAAACACAGCAAGGTATACCAATGGGAGAGGGGACCAGAAGGAATTCCCTGTGACAGAAACACGGAATGGGTAGGATACAAATATCCTATGATAGTACCTATCATGTTTATCTATAAAACCAAAGGTGGCTCGAGAAGTTCCTGAGAAGACAATCGCTGGCGTCTGAGTAGGTTCAAACCTGGTGCCCAAAGAGCATTTGAGATGTCCTTGAATTTCCCACCTGGCATTCAGCTGTTGCTCCAGGACATCATAAGGCTCATCCCTGATGGATTTGCCAGCCCCACAAAGATGCGACAGGTATTCCAGGGAATCTCAAACAGTGCCAAAGATTCATCCCTAGGCAAGAGAAAAGAAGCACTTGGGAAGTAGCTAGCACTACTGGCTGTCATCACAGGAGAGAAGTTGCCACTTCTGAGGTTAACTCAAGGCTAACAACACTGATATGGACCTGAGTACACTCCGAAAGAGCTACACTGCACCGTGCAGTCACACCAACTCTGCCCTTGTGGATAGAGCCACAGTAGCACCACTCTTCTAGGACTGAGCTGGCTGATGCATTTCTTTGCAGTGCTGTGCCCTGTAATGTGCACAGACCATAAAGCTAAATATTATTGCTGCCAAAATAAGGCTTGTGGGGTTTGTCACAAAGAAATCTTTACTCGAAGGAGGCACTGTTGAGGACATGACTGTAGAATACATATAATTAAGATATCAGAAAAAAGAACTCAATAAAAGGCAGAGTTTGGTTAGTAGGTAAACTACTTCTCCCATGTTCTTAGTATTAGTTTATTTTACATGGAAATCAGAGCTAGAAAAGCCACAGAACCTAAAAATGTCTTTTTCTAAATTTTTGTCAGAAAATCTGTTCTTAAAATAACTGTCAGTAAACCAAAATAGCTCCATATACTGAAACATTTCCATAATTCATATAATCATAATTCTGAAAACGACTATGGTTAAAAAAATTTCAGTAACAGTTGCAGCAATCTTTCCTTTTTCTCTCCAGTATTCTCACCAACCAAGTACTTTACATCCTGATGCTATCCAAAATGTTGCAGAAAAAACAGATGTTTCTGAAATGTGGGAGAACGATTTGCGCCCCATCCTGATTGAAAGATACCCAGGGTCACCAGGAAATCACGCCGTACGACAGGTAAGGAAACAGTTCTGCCAACCTCTAAGCACACCTATTCTTTATTTGCTGGTAGAGCCTTTAGGGACCACAAAGGGACAAGTTCCTGTCATGCGGTGGATGAACCTGACCATTGTGCTAGTGCACACCATGCAGTGTCTACAAGATACAGCCTGCACTTCAGCTAGCATTACTTCCCAGGGCTGCATGGCAAGAAGAAAGATTAACTTCAGGTTTCAAATTAAGAAGCTGACCCCAGGTCTGGTAACTGAAGTAAAACACAGTGCTTGTCCATTTCCTCACATGAGCAGGATTTTGGTGGTTCAAACACCTGGAATCCTACACATCCCCCCTCTTTGTCCTGGAGAGGTCCTGTTAGAGTTGATTAATCCATCCAGGTGAGCCCTGGAGGGATCACAGAGGTCCACACAGGTGGGCAGCCTGGATAGGCAGCACAGCAGCATGATAGTGCTGGGCTAGCACAGCCACATCGTGCTTGGCCCCAGGCTGGTGAGAGCTCCAGCATATTGTGCTTCAGCCACAAGGATTCAGCATGAGTAGGATCTCACAGTGCAGGCATCTCCAAGGCTGTGTGCCACACTCACTCCTACTTATATCAGCCAGCCCAGAGACTGAAGCACTGGCATGGCCCAGATTACTTAGAAGGCATTTGCAACATCTCAAGAACCATCATCTACCCTTTAGGAATCAACTCAACAGCTCCATGATACCCCTAACTACAATAAGCTTATTTGCCACTCTACAAATGGTAGGTGAGGAAAACGCAGCTTTTTTTATACTGGTTGCTTCTATACATTTAGTTTTGTGGTTTCCTTAGTCATACACTAGAAGAAAGCCAACTGAAAGGGAAAAAAGGAAGAAAAACAAACAAACAACAGGACAGCCTGGAATAGAAAACCACAAATTACATTCAAAAAAAGGACCATTTTGTTACAAGGTAACAGCATATATTGCAGTAGACTTTTGCGGAAGAAAAAAAAAAAATCCTCCCTTGAGACAGGGAAAAACATCAGACTCCTGGAAGGGAGAGGGTGGTTCCACTCACACATAGTGCACCCTGGGAACTTCACCCAGGCTTACGTACTCCTCTATAACAGAAGTCCTTTGCTCTGTTGATGTAGTCCTACAGATGGTGGGGAGGCCATATGATGCCATAAAAGCTTCCAGAACGTGACCACAAGCAAAATGGAAGTTTCTTCTAACAGAATTTATGGCAGCATTCTTACTGACTTCACTGAGAGCAGGACAAGTCCTCAAAGTCTATTTCCATTTTTTCCCTTAGAGGCTTTTGCTAATGTTTATTTAGAGAGAGAGGAATCTGCCTTGAAGAAGCACTCTAGGGACACATAAAAATCAGCTGCTCAACAGAGATGGCCCTCTAATAAGAGTCAGTTAGAATTCTGTACTAAGTACAGCCTGAGTAGTTAGATTTATTCTTTTAAACATGAAGCTACCTAAAAATGAATCATCCTTTACTTAGGTCTGCTGTATCAATTTTTATTAAGGGCCTCATTTTTAAGACATTCTGAAATGCTTCATTTATTCTGTAATTGACAGGCATCACTGTCTTTTATAGCCTCGCAAGCAACTTATGCCACTTGAAAGGCAAATTTCTCTTAGAAGGTAAAAATACCAATATTTTCAAAAACGCCAATGTTTTATTTGTGGAAACTATACATAGCAATTGCCAAAATAGCTGCAAGTTCTCTGCAGCCAGTTTTGACACTTAAGGACACAACTGAGTTTATATTTGAATGCTGTATCGATCCTAATTACCCCTGGAAAAGTCTGGCTTGGAGACTTCAGAGGTCAACACCTCAACAACGTCACCTTGATGGGCAATCACTCTAAGCTATCTCAAGACTCCAACTACAAGGGACAGAACGGAGAGATGAAAAGTGAGTGAGCCAGTCAGAGGGTAGGCTAAGGCAGTGAGGATGATGCTTATTTTATACAGTGGCATGATTATTATAATCATTTTTGCTATAAGAGTAATCTATTAAAAACACCAGAAATAAGCTTCAGAGCCACTATTGCTAATTAGCTACTGATAATTTGTCTGCAGTACCTTTCCTTCAGTAATATTCATTTGGTATATATACAAATATATATTTCATTGCAGCACATCAAGCAGCGTCTTCAAAGACTCCAGGCTGGTTGGGAAATTGAAGAAGATACCTTTCAGAAGTACACACCCTATGGGTATCAAACATTTTCAAATATCATCAGCACTCTCAACCCCTCTGCAAAGCGCCACCTGGTCCTCGCTTGTCACTACGACTCAAAGTTCTTTGGCCCACAGTGGCACGGAAGAGTGTTTGTGGGAGCAACCGACTCAGCTGTGCCCTGTGCCATGATGCTGGAGCTGGCACGCGCCCTGGACAACAAGCTTCAGTCCATCCAGGTAGTTGGCTTGGTTCCTTCTCATATGGTTTTGCAATAGCAATAGACCTGAGGGCATTTCCGTGCTCTCCCTTTTGGTCTGTGTCTGATTCCCTGGTTGCTGTGCCTATAGGAAGATCCCCATCGTATTCCAGAAGAACTGAACAGAGATCTGTACACGTGTGCTTTAGTACAGGATAACATTACTAACTCACATGCAAAGTGTGAGTATCTTATATACACTGTATTAAAGCAATTTACACATGGAGAACACACTTAATAGACTTAATGAGATATAGTTCTTCATTATACATAAAAAGCACAGAATCCTATCCAGCCATTCCTACCCTATTAAGTAAAGCACTATGTTTCTTTCTGAATGATGCATTTTTAAAGTCTCCTTGTTGTACTGGGAGACAGCTGAACCAATTGCTGTGGAGGAGTTACACTGTCACATGCCCCCAGCTCATAACAACTTCAACATTTTCTTCCTGTTTTCCTTTATCGGTTTGAGTCGTTTATTTAATAGATGAACGACAGCAATCTGAGTGGAGGAATGCAGACAAGTAATATGATTACATTATCAGACTCTGACCACAGGAAAATTTGCTTCCCAGCACTGCCACTGCTGGGCACAAAAATCTCTCGGAGCTATTTCACAGACTTACGAGCGCCATCTACTGGCTCGGTATTTACTACTGACAGAATGCTCACCAAACACCTGCAGATTTCCACAGGAAGCTTCCTCAAACGTTTTGCTAACTAGTGGAATGCACTCAGTTCAGGTATTGAGATCAGCTGTTTACAGTTGTCTCCAGAACTGACTTGGTGCCTTCTGACATTAGAAGATTTAAAAATGGAAAGACTAAGGATATGCCATGGGTTTTAACTGCAAAAATGAAGCACTTCTGTGAACACACGCAGACTCCATTTACAAGCTTCATTTAGAATAAGCCTGCCTGTTACTTATGGAACAACCAGTATGTCAATTTAAAGATTAGATTTTTTTTCTTTTTTTTTGGCAGGTAATACGTTATTTCTTGATTAAGTTTTCATTAAGGTGACGGCATTCGACAGAAAAGCAATCTAATTACTTTGCACAGACCATCACTTGTACAGCCCATTAACAAAATATACTTTGGGACCCATCTGCTTAATCCATTAGCAGTGACCTTTTTGCTCTGCTCACAGCAGCATAACAGACTTTGCTATGCTTTCAGCCAAATCTATTTATACTTGAAACTGCGATCTTTATCTTGATGTTTCTTCAGTTATACAAGAGTAAGTTTTAAAATTAAAAGGGCAAAGAGATCTCTTTACATTATCCAGATCTAGGAACACGTTAAGCACTAATAATAATGGCAAATACTGCTTTCTAAAATTCAGATGGTGTTAATGCCATTTCCTCCAAAATGTAATGAAAACAACTGCTATCAGAAGAGGTCTGTTCTGTGCAAAGGACAAAGGGCAGCAAGGCAGTGCCATTAGAAAAAATCCATACATTGCTGTGGGCATAATCAATAATCATCTTGCCTACATGAGTAACATTTTATAGAGGTTTTCCTCTATTGTTTGCATTGGATCAGCTCCAGCCAGTTGGGAATTGTGGCCCATACAGGACGTGACTGCTGCCAGTGACCCCACCTTTTTAACCACATCATGCAATTCCATTTGAAGAAAAAATTATTCATAGAGGGGTTAAAATATTCACAGCAACTGCCAACATCACAGTTCCCGTATAGTGGAGCTGAGCTGGGTTTAGCCATGCTGTAAGTTACTAGGAAGTGCTGCCAGAACAAACAAGGCTTCAGTTAGTAAACAGAAAAAAAGAAGGCTCCTTCTGCCTTGAGAAGGAATTTTACATAGATGTCTCCTTTGTGACCTTAAATACAATAATCATGTATATATTCTCAACAGTTTCACTGTTGTGATACTGTTGGTGGCCAAAGAGGAAGAGCGTATCTATTCCTCTCTCTTTGGTTTCGGGGTAAATTTACCTGAGCGACTGCAAGTATCCCTGAAGAAGAAGAAATGATCATTCTCATGACTGACTGCTCTTTGTCCCTCAACAAACCATAAGCCTTTCATAATTCATCTCCACTTCAGAACTGTAGCAGGAATACTATTCCTTTGAGGCACAGCCACAGTATTCACAGCACTCACCTCAGATGCCGTTGCTGACATGTCTCCTCTGCTGCTCAAAATGATGTTCTGGCTACTTGGTTTTGTAGACTTTTCTCAAAATACTCAGCTTACATCCGCTGAATAAAACTTCCAACCAGAACCAAAAATCATGCCAGGGTGGGGGATGTGTCATTGTGCTAGATTAATAAGTAATAATAATTGATTACTATGTCACCATGACATGTTTGAGATTAATGGCCATAGGAAGGCTTGCATGCAGTACCCTGAAGATACACCCATACCAAAGGGGCTTATCTGACTGCAGTATTCTTTCTTTACACAATGCTCTGGCCAGAATCAGTTCTGCCACCTTTTACTTCTTCCAACAGACAAGCTCAACATCAAGACCAGACCTTTCACTTCAGCTTATCTTTTTTGATGGAGAAGAAGCTTTTGTCCGGTGGTCCCCTTCTGATTCCCTCTATGGGTCTCAACACTTGGCTCAAAAAATGGTATCTACTCCACATCCACCAGGTTCAACCACCACAAACAGACTCCAGGGCATGGTAAGTGTCTTCACCTCCATAAGGAGTAATAGCAAACTGCAGTTGTTTAATAATCAATTAAGCCAAATACCCAAGAAACCAAGAACCTCACCTAAACTGAGGCAAGCTTGTGAAAAATTTAGACATGCTAAAATACAGAGCTGGCAAGAGCTTTTCAGATGGACCAGCACAAAACTCAATGCAAGTATGAGGATTTGTAGAAAAAAAATGTAATATTCAAATTTACTCCAGTATGAACTAGGGCACCTACCTCCTTTAATAGGGATTCTTCAACATGATCACTAAAGAGCACAGAACTAATAAGATTCTTTGAAGAGGAAAAAAAAAAAAGCCCCCCACCTCAGCCTCGGAGTCAGACATCTCAGAGTTACAGCAAGCTCTCAGGGTTGCTCTTTGATTGCTACAAACATTTTGTCAGCTCCCTTCTGGTTTCCCAACTCACTGCTCCGCCACTGTCACTCTATCTTGTGACTCATATAATGTCTTTCCCTTGACAGAAGCTGTTCTCCAGGGAAGAAGTAATTTTCTCTTTTTTCTCCCCACATAACATATTCTTTTAAAGGAATATAACTTAGAGACTGTAAACAAAGCAACACAGCCTTTTTCAGAAAGAGGACTGGACAAACAGTCTGTCCCTCCTCCTTGGAAAGGCAACAAGATGCATTGGGTCTGAATAGGGTTCTGCTAATGAGTTCTTCTCAGGTACTGTGGTAGAAAAGCCAGATCTTTGTAAGGAGCTGTTAATGACCCAGGCATCATCTGCACAGGAACCAAGAGATTTCATTGCTGCTGCTGGTGGGTAACTTTCAGAATACTGTGCTAAAGATTCTTTCTTCTGTAGGACCTGCTGGTACTACTGGATTTAATAGGCGCACCAAACCCTGTCTTTCCCAATTATTTTCCAAACACTAGCAGATGGTTTCAGAGGCTTCAAGCAATTGGTAAGGAGAGGGGCATGGGCTCTTAATTTAAAGATTTAGGATATAGTTTTCAAAGGAAAAAGCCATGTAAATCAGATTTTTAGATTACTTTTCTGGTTTACAGTTCTAATATTTAATGATGCAAACATTAAACTTGGTGCATCTTCAAAATTGATAACTTCATACATGTTTAATTAATAAAGTAACTATGATTCACAGACACTTGGAAAACACGATTCTGATGGCCACTTTGTGACTCTTGGGTTCTGCTTCACTTTTGTGTTTTAGTTCTTACTTCTGTAAATCAGTGGTAACAGCATCAGTCTTGGGGTCTTCTAAGTACTAAACAAATGCAAAAGACAGTCACCAGCTTCTTTTTCTTGCTTAATGGAAAAAGATTCCACAAGAGTGGAAAAATTCATTTGTGGTAACATGCCTTATATTGTCCAAAAGCTGTAACAGTCACTTCACAGTCACTAACTAACAGTCACTTCCATTGTGAATTACAGAGCAGAAGCTACACGGTATGAATCTGTTGAAGAATCACCTTGATGAAACACAGTATTTCCAGAATAATGTATATCGAGGCTTGGTTGAGGATGACCACGTTCCATTTCTATTGAGAGGTACTGGCAGTTCTAATGCTGCTTTTAAAATACAAGTTCAATAACCAAAGCTCCATTTAGTAAATAAACAGATGCATATGAACTTGCTTTTTTCCAGCTTATTTGCCCCAGGTTGTGGCTTCAAACTCCAATGTTACGCAGGCCTAGTCATAGCTTTGAAAAACATAGAGGAAAAGCAGAGATAGAACCATCCTTACCATCATTTTGTATGTGCACAGCTCCAATGGCACAGAAATAATGGAAATTTCTGCCAGCACTACAGTGTTCCACAAAGATGAGTAACTGACCCAATGGGCCATCGCTACACACCACACCAGCCTGCTGCTTACTATTTCTAGAAGCAGCGAGACACACAAAAGGGCTGCGTTTGCAAAGATCACAAAAGTCTCTGAAGATCTTTTGGCAAACTTACTGAGTAATGCTCACAATTACCTGTTGAAATTTGAAGGCACTAACTCCTGCAAAAGCTAAAATATTCAAGTTAGACTCTCATTTACTAGAGCAGAGATGGGAAAGGTGTATATAGTAATCAGTAAGAATGGCAAAGGACACAACATGCATAATGTGCACTAAGTGCATACCTGAAATTTTCCCTACCCAAGATCTCTCCCAGCAGACACCCACACCACTGGCACCACGTTCATTCTTTTCATTCAGGAAGCAGCCAAAGAAAGGGAAAGTGGTTACATTAGTGCTACCCAACTTGCACAGCTACAGGTTGGTGATTAAAGCTCTTGCCCAGGTGCAAGATGTGGATTTGATGTTCAAGTACTAGGTGTGGCACCTTCTAAATAAAGGTGAGCCACAAAAGAATAGCAAATAGCAAATATAGCACATTCTTCTAGTTGAAGCTATCCACCATAAGCAAGGACTACAATAGTTGCATTGCTAGAGAAGGACAAGGTCAGAAGGAAAGTAAGACGAGTTCAAAGCTGCTACATAGGAAATCTACATAGGGAATAAGGGAGATACTTCCATATCCAGATCTTTTGTTTACGTCTGCTTGTGATCTACAACTACTGAGTAATGCTGAATCAGTACACAGCTCTGCAAGCAGATGAGTGCAGTCATACCTCCCCACTTCTGAGCAAGCACTCCTTTACCTGAGCTGCACTTACAGTCTCTTGTTCAATGGATTTTCAGTTCCCTGAGTCCTTCATTTCTGGAAGGCAGGACTCAGCTGCAATGAAATACATGCTACCACATACATATCCAGGGACATAAGAAAATCTACACGGGAGAAACCGGTCAGGGACTACACCTCAAAACCTTTTCTAATGATATAAACAACACCCAGTGAAAATAAAGATTCCTCTTTGTGGCTGAAAAATGAGGAAAAGCGGCAAAACAGGAAAGATGGACAGAAACAATGCTCCACCACTGTCCTGAAAGAGGGATCAGGAGACAGCTGAATGAGTTAAGTTCTTTTATCTAGAAGTTGCATCATGTATCAGCATACTGGTGGCTCAGATCTATCAACATACACACACACAGTAACACATTTAAAAGTGTACATCCTTTTATGTGAGGATAACAGTGGTTCTGTTTGCAGGGAGAAAAATACAGGCATTCTAATTTACCACTTAAGGAGAGGACTAGGAACTGCTTCAAAAACATGCTAAATCCTAACGCTGGCATAAGAACATAGTAATTGGGAGCTGCAGTGGTTTCTCTGCCCTTCTCTAGCTCCTAAACACAACTTGAGCCACTACAACGCATGGAATCCAGGAAAAACAAAGGGGCAGGTATCACAGTACAACTACTAGCTGCAGATACTTTAAAAAAGATAGTGCTTGAAGGAGGGTATGGATTTTAGGAAACAAATAGTGAAACGGATGGGTTGTAGTCACAGACTAAAAAAAAAAAAAAAAAAAAAAAAAGATTGTAGGACTGCAGTGGTATACAGTGAGCTGAGTAGTTATCTGACTGTCAATAAGCAGTGGTGTATCAACTTACTTAACAGAAGTTCTCCAACGTGGTTTCCAAATTTCACTTTGTTCCTCACAGGGGTTCCAGTCCTACATCTGATCCCGTCCCCTTTTCCTGAAGTATGGCACACTATGGAGGACACTGAAGAAAACCTCGACCAAACCACTATTGAGAACCTCAGCAAAATCCTCCAGGTGTTCGTACTGGAATATCTAAACCTGTGACAGAAATGTAGGCTGCAAATCTTACTTCATTTTAAATGTTGTTTGCTCACCTTCCCTTCTGTTATTTAATTACATCAGAGTGCACTGAAGCAAAGCAAAATACGGCCATAGCTCTTGTTACACTGATTACTGTTTCTGCTGTTCCCAGCTCAATGTTCCATATAAAGAAATAAAATATGGCATTAAATAAAAATTAGTTTCAGCCCAGAAATAATTTGATCTTTCAATGTCTTACCTTTGGATAGACCAAAATAAAATTCCAGAGTTTTCCCACATTGTTATCACCGTTTTTATGTCACACATTAAGATCCAGCAGGGGATGCCTTCAGATGTGTTCAGCTAATTTTTTTACAAGGTGTTACCAACTTCAGCAGCCTTCAGCAATGGAAGTTTTTTAATACATTACCAAAAAAGGCAAAAAATCACATTAAAACAAACTTTGCTTTGGGCTGAACCAAATCACATGATCACAAAATCAGCTGCAAGAACTCCTGACACACAACAGGGATTTGTTACTCTCTCTGTTCTCTTCCCTCCTTCCCCTCAGGGGGAGGCTGCAGGAAACAAGAACACAGCACAAAAATCAAATTTCTCCCAGTCGTTTCTGGATACTTTTTGATGGAGAAGCTGGTGGGGAGTGAGAGCAGTGGGAAGTGCTGTGGGGACTTCCACTATGCTTCAGCTGCACACAGAACAGGCACTGTGTGGGAGCAATGACCAAACACAGCGTTTGTGTGCCTCAGAATCATTCACAGTTTCACCCAAAATAATAGGAAAACTGTTTGTAACATAGATTACATCAGAAGTAGCCATACTATGAATGTGATCATTTTAGAAACTGCAGTTTTATGTAGGTACCATTTTAAAAGCAATGTGCTACCTATAAAGACTGAACTAAGTACAGGAGTGAGAAGGTGACATCAAAAAGCCAAGAACCTCTATCAGAAGATACTCACCATTCTAACAACCCTGCACTTGTACATTTCTTACTGGAACTGTTCAATACATTTAGTGTAGCACTATGGCAGCACAAATCTACCTGCAATGACATCAGGTAACAGAAGAAGCCAGAACAGCAGTATCCAAAAGCTACATACAGGATTATGGTTTCCTGTGGGGAGAAGATGATGAGGACATCTGAAAAAGAAAATAAAACAATATAATAATAGTTGTTAATTAAGCTAGTAGAAGATGATGTCAGTATTTGCCTGTTTTGAACTTCCTTCATTAGAAAGTTCTATACTGGACACAGAGATTTAGAAAAGGAAATAAATAAGCTGTGAAGCTATAGGCATATCAGATGTGGCTTCTATTTTAGTATTTTACCATTTCCCATTTCCCTAAATCAAAGATTTCTGAATCTAAGCAGAATATTTACAGGCATTTTAAAGTTCCAATGGGAACTTGCGTTTACAGAATCACAGAATCACAGAATTGTAGGGGTTGGAAGGGACCTCCAGAGATCATCGAGTCCAACCCCCAACAATTTACAACAATGCAAATTTGTTAAAAGCTACTATTACATAGCAGCCTGAAAATGGAAGTTGATCTGTCTTTAGTATTTGAGATAGAACAACAACAAAAAAAAACATTTTATGTTTCCCATCATTTTACTGTTTGTGAGAAATGTTTCTCTGTGTATGAAAATTCTGAAGTAGAACACAAATAAAGTCCTAAAAATGGGTCAGATGTGTTTCTTTTTCAAATAAATCTAACTGCACATTCATGACTACATCAAAGCTACTGGATCTATTTGTGATCACATTCCCCTCTACTTCAGTCCCCAATGTAAGATTACAAATAGCCATCTTCCGTAACCAGAATACACTGAGCAGCCTAAGTTACCAAAACAGAGAACAGCAGAGCTGTATACAGAAAACTGAGACAAGAGTTTGTGTTCTTACGTACTTCATGCTTTGAAAAATTCATGATGCATGTGCAATGCACACTGCTACTCTGGTTCTTCAAGAATGTGAAGGTTAACCTAAAACGGACCTCATTAAGAAACGTGGGACCAGGGGGCTGTTGTAACTGGAGAAAGCCTAGGTGGTTTTTTTTTTTCAAATCTATTACAGGCAGTTGAAACAGCATTATAATTATGCAGTTTAAAATAATTGTCCCTGAGTGTGCCATTCTCTGAAGTTCACTTGGTACAAAGAAATGACACAGAGGTTGCTGTAATAAGATTCAGTGGTTCTAACACAAAGAGGGATGATTTTCTTTCTTCTCGAACTACATGTGAGGCCCAGAAAGGGTTTCCTTCAAGAGGCACACAGCTGTCATTTTTAAAAGAGGAGGGCAACTTAAACATCCTGGCAACTTAAATGACCTGTCATTCATTTGAAAACCACTGATGGAAAATGTACATCAGCCCAGCAGCCACGTGACTACGGATCTAAAGCTCCAAAAATTGTCAGTAAAGACACGATACAAGATGGGTCCTCACTACTTCTATGCCAAAGCAGAACAAGCAGGTAGGAGACAGTCTGTACCAACTCGAGTCTGGTAAAATGGCAGGGAAGGTACGAGTGACAAGTGACAAGACCAGGACTGGCAGTGCAGTATGGGTATAATCAGTTCAGAATTCAGAGCCCAGCTTTATGCTGAAGTTCATTTCCCTGGATGGTTTCTCCTTCCCTGTCTGATGGCCGCACCAGGGGAGAGAAACCACCAGGAGAGATTTTAAGTAATCTTAAAACCAAAGAAATCAGCGAAGGACTTTCCCTTGAATAGGGTTAGCCACACTTCTGTCAAGTAAAAAATGAATCCACAATTCCTGGGAAGCTGTCACTGCCTTGTCACAGTCCTCCTCAAGGTGCATGAAGTTATTAACAAGGGAGAAGGGAACAAACTGAAGAGTCAGAGCTCAACAGGTTTTTAGTTTGGGTTTACACTACTTATGTGCGCTGTAACACGAGCTTTAACTCCTTTTATAAGTTCATCACAAGGAAAGTAATGATGCACAATCCTCATTCTTCAGCACTTGCTGCATTTAGCTACAAGTGAAGTGATCCTAAGCATACACAGCAAGAACTGGCTAAGGGAGTAACAATGCAGACTGTTCTCTAGGCAGAAATGATGGCAAGAGTGAGCACCAGTCCTCTTCTTCCTCTCACTGGAGTAGCAATCCTATCGCCAGGAATGAAGACAAAACAAATTAGCAGTTCATAGCCACATCCCATGTAATTGTTTTGATTGTGAGCACCTAGCAACAAATAAATAAAATACAATTAGAAAAGATAAGGTGCAGTAAAAATGCTTTTGGTAGAAATATTACAAGGATCAATCTACACTGGCAGTAGGCCCAGCAAAAATTACAGTTCAATGTGTAGATGGGTGCCACTTCAGAGTATATCCCATAAACTACATCTGTTTCTCTAAGTGAAAGATAACTACAACATTCTGCACACAAATTACCATTTTTTTCCTTGTCATTCATGGATGACACTGATTTTATTTTCCTCTTATAAAAGGAGACATTTTACTCTCTGTTGATTTAACAAATGTTCTGAATTATATTCATTACAATAAAGCAGCTAAAAAGCTGTTCTAATCTCTAAAAGAACCTTTATCATCTGCACATGTGAGATATATATATATATATATATATAAACAATCACTCCAAAAATAATTTTGTTCAAGTGATTATATTGCACTCAGAATTCTGGAATTCCATTCTGCCTTCGCATTTTAAATCAAAGATCAGCTTCATTTTTTATTTATTTTTTAATAAAATGAAGCTTTAACTTTCTACTAAAAACAAGTAGGCATGCAAGCAATATAATACAATATATTTCAAATGTCACCAAAATGGAAAAGTTGCTTATGAAACTGGAGTAAGGAACAACTCTGCGATAGGCCACGTGAGAGTAGTAAATGTAAACATCCTGCTGGCACTACGCTGTTGCAGGTGGTGCAGAGTGCAGCCCAGTTCAGCAGCCAGGAGGTACAGGAATTCTGTTGAAGCATTCTGTACTTCTGTGAGTCTCCATGCAGCAACGGCACGTCCCATGGACTACGCATGAACACAGAGCAGTGAGGATGGTGGTTACAGAGCTAACGCCGACCTTGGAGCGCCACGATTTTGAAATGATGTTTTCCTGATGGTTACGTATTCAAAGACAGCAGTGAAACTATTATTGTTGCTGCAAATTAAGTACAGAGTCAGATCCCCCGTGTGTAACTTACATTACTGTATGCCAGTGGCAGTCTGGACACTAACTTCAGACTACAAAATCCCAGCAAGGGGCCTCTGTGCAGACTGTCACCTTGCTTTGTTCACAGGAGTGACGCCCTTCTCCACGCGTCAGAGGCAGCAGAGAAAAAACACAGATGGAAAAAAAGGAAAAATCCTCAGCCAACGTTGAGGCCACAGATCTTGAAAATTCACATGAAGGCAGCTGATTCTCAGCTCAGCTCTACAGGAGAACAAGATCTTGCTCTCTATCGAACTCATTAGCTTCAGGTAACAAACATTATTACACTTGGAGTCCCTGAGATACTACGGCTCTCTACCTGGGACAAATGGAGAGACTTCAGATACACAATAACGAGGTGCAAGCCAAGAAACAGCACCCTGAGTTGCAAGTGAAACGATAGGAATGGGCAACCCGTTCCTGAACAGCCAAGAGATGCAGAAGAAAATGCAAAGGAGGTACTGGCTGGGGAATTAAAAGATGCGTATTGCAAGGGAGGACAGAAAAATAAAAAAAGCTGACTTTTTTTCTACAAAGCCTTTCCCTATTACCATCAGAGCAGAGCAGAAAAAACAAGCAGAGGGAAAATCTTTCTGAGAAAGGCAGTGAAGAAATAGGGCCTTCTATATGCACAGTAGAACAATAATGCAAAAGCAGAGACAGTTAGGCAGTCTTGTTCCCAGTGTGCCCCGAATGTTAAGCACTCCAGCACCGACTGTAAGAACTGACAGTATTCTGGACACAAACTTAGGCAGAGAAGTACCTAATCTCTCTCTCCTAAAACTACAGGAAAGATACAAAGAAGCAAAATACAAAGTCACAATCAAATCAGCGAATACTTTCCATAGTGAAAAAATGAAATACTGGCTTCAGAAACAAAACAGACATCTGTTCTGTATCTTTAAGCAGGGCTAACTGTAAAAAAGAGGTGCTTCTAAAATCTTAAGTTTGAAATCCTTTATTTCCCAGTATATTGCTTATTCCGAAATTAAATAAAAAAGAAATATCAGAGATGGATGTGGAAAACTTACAGCTAGAAAATGGTTGCTGAGCCATCTGAATTTCTATAAAATTAAT